TCATTTTTGTGTTGTATAGGGTAATGCAGAAGTCTAATTGATATTTTCCATTCGAAAAATTGGCTCTACAGGTCTTTTGAGTTTAGAATTGTCGTCCCAGTTGAGGCACGTAAAATGATGACGCATTTTACACACCATGTATCGGAGTAAAATCGTTGATGTAAAATCTTGAAGTACGGAAATTTTGGTTTGATATTTCCCAGATATGAATGGATATCCGTTTTACGGTCATTGATGACTTTCAGGCATTGTCTGCTGCATGACGGCTTGCTTTTCTTGTGGTATGTCGACTCCATTGCTTACGTCATATTAGAAATTGGATCAGATTTAGACCTTGAATATCAGCGTACCTCGACGAAAGGCTTAGACAGCTACAGTATTTTCGGGAGTCTGGATCTCTCATCGCCGAATATGAAAATGGAAATAGACTGGAAAAACAATACTTGAAACATTGACAAAGTCGATTAATAGATCATTTGCATAGCATGTCTGCCTTGCTATCTTCGATCAGATCTCTAGAATAACGTGGTGCCACTTTTATCTTCACACAGTGTCACGGCTTACCAATTGGGTAAGTAAAACAAAAAGTTGTCATACGTAAATATTTCATTATGGTAACATCCGAGTAAACTTATCTCACAAAGTCCTTTATCTGATATATTTTTCTGATGTGACATCAATTAACAATTTTACTGGTCACAGAAAAAAGTATAAATTAGATTCGATCTTATGTCTAGTCGTTCTCTCCACTTGAAAAAAAAATTAAACCCTTTTTTTTTTTTTATTATTTATAATATCCTGTGATGGTAGACATAGAATCACGCATCGACACAGTCGAAGAGCTTGATGTTATTCAGGACGATCCAAAGAAATGGCCGAGAAGAAAGAAATTCTTTATTCTTGGGGTAATAGCGTTCGCTGGAGTAACAGCTCCATTTTCAAGCACGTATGTAATTATATTTGGCACAGATCGTCTTACAAATCAAGAATCTATGTGCACATATGTGTATGCCTTGACGTGTAGTATTTGAATTTTACTAAAGTACATGATCTAATGTGTTTAGGATGTTTTGGCCCGTATTACCAGTCATACAAAAGTCATACAACACGACAGAAGTGGCCGCAAACTCTACAAGTAAGTATGACCCTCGAGACAAGGATATTGATGCATGTTACTCATATATCAACGTTTTACAGTAGGAGTGTTTGTCCTGTTTATGGGAATATGTGTAAGTCAAAGCGTATTGATTTAAAATATGTTGTTACTATTACCGTGCCGGCATCATATCCTACTTGTTACCCCACATTTTGACAAACTACATTTTCTTAGCCGCTCGGCTGGGCTGCCTACTCGGACAAACGTGGAACAAGACGCAATGTTTATATCTTGTCGTCTGCAATATTTGTTATTGCGTCGATAGTCTGCGCTTTGTCACCAAGCATCTGGTTGCTAATTATTATGAGAGCGTTACAAGCATGTGGGTCATCCGCAGTGCAGAGTGTTGGAGCTGGAACTCTAAGCGATTTGTATAGAGTTGAAGGTACAAGTCTAGAATCCGTAATTTAATTCCAACGGCATGATATGGTCAATTCGCTGATGTTATTTTCTTTAACAGACCGTGGAACTGCATATGGCATTGTCTACTTGGGAGTTCTAGTAGGTATGTTATATGTTATATATTATTCTCGATCAATCTTGCTTTGGTATTACGGAATTTTAAACGTTTTTCTACGACTGCGATTCATATAGGTCCATTAATTGGACCTGTCATTGGGTAACTATGATCAGGATTAAGTTCTAGCCAACTATTCGAACGCACGCTAATAGTTTTCTGATTGTAGTGGATATGTCGACAAATTCTTTGGATGGAGGTAAAAGAAGCAAAGTAATAAATGTATGCATTTTTTTATATAAAATTTTAATACACGATGTTTACGCTTTCAATTAGGTGGAATTTCTGGTTACTTGCGATTCTTGGAGCGATCCTGTTGGTTCTAGTATTCATAACACCAGAAACCTTCAGAGAACCCAATGAACTCGTGAAGCCGAGCAGACGGCAAAAGACCGAGACTGAAGAAAAAAGCGTGATAGATGACAAAGAAAATGAAGCTGAAAAGACAACAGTAGCATATGACGACATAGTGCAGGATGAAGACGGCTTGAATGAGACAAAAATAAACAAAAGTCAAATTCGCATTGACACTACTATTTCTATCAACTCCCCTTCTCCGGTCTCTCCTAGTGCTACTCTTTTTACTACATCTCCAACCTCTCCGACTGACACGCTATTTCCTTCATCTCCAACATCTCCTGCTACTCTCGTTTCCTCATCTCCAACGTCTCCTATTTCTAAACCTTCTCCCTTAAATCCAACAACTCCACCTCAATCTAAAGAAGATCTTAATCTCATATCGTTTTTGCTCCTCATTGTATCACCTCTCCTTCTCCTCCGTTATCCAAATGTCACGTTTATAGTAGTATTTATTTCCGCAATGTTTGCAATGTTATACACACAGGCCACACTTGTAGCGGTCACATTTCAAGATAGCCATTACGCTCTTTCGCCCTCATTGACTGGGCTTATATTTTTATCTAGTGGGGCAGGATATATGTCAGGAAGTGTAGTAGGAGGGAGGTATACGGATATAATGCTTGCGAGGGAGAGAAAAAAGAACAAAGGAGAACAGTATGCAGAGATGAGATTGAAAAGTGCATGGCTAGGATCCATTATTTTACCTATATCATTTATGGCTTATGGCTGGTGTGTAGACAAAGAGGTGTTTATTGTATGGCCTTTAATTGCCATGTTCTTCGGTATGTATTGGTAGTAGTGGTGATAATGTTAGTAGAGAGTCAGTAGCAGTGAGACGGAATATTTTGATATACAGGCTAATCAGAAAATATTTCCTTTTCTCAACACTAATACTAAATATTTCGTTTAGGCGGGTTAGGGGTTCTTTTAACTTTTACAAGTATGGCAACTTATCTCATTGATGCATTTCCCGGATTTTCAGCATCAGTCATGTCTGTAAATATTTGCCTCCGGTATCTTGCTGCTTCTCTAATGTCCATCATCGCTGCTCCATTAAAAAATGCGATTGGTAATGGATGGTTATTTACAGCATTGGCTTTTCTCAACGTCATTGGAGCTTTTCTTTTGGTAATTGTGTATAGTAAAGGGCGAGAATGGCGAGAGAATATTGGGAAAAGTCATGAAAAGGTTGTTGAGGTCAACTTAAAGTCACCTGATCTATCATAAAAAAGTAATTACACTAACTAAATAAGTGTTTCAATATGTTTATTGTGCGGTTTGGTATGGATAATGGTGTATTGTTCACGAATAAAGTTAATTAATGTAACTAAATAAATTTATTACCAAACGAAGTAAGACCCGATCCATACAAAATAATTGACGATGTAACTGCAGGAAGCAAGACGTTGGGTTAGACTCCGGTTCAGTGAATCGGACAGCAAACCGATTATGAACACTCTCGATTGAGGGAGCTAATATTGTCGAATATTCTAATGAATATTCCCCGCTACGCAACATGAGTTGCTACCTAGGTGGATCATTATCCATACCCAGTTGAACGGATCGCTGTCAACAGTGTCATTATTAGTCATCATCGCATATCACGATTTTGACATCATACGCGGACGGATATGGCTGTGATGCTTGATTAGCTTGGTAAAATTCAATACGGTATATCAACATGCGCATAATTCATTTTTCCGTGTGGTAAAAGTGATTAGGATGATTCAGTTGCTGCGCGCGGGATGTTTAGTTACACTAACCCAAATTGTGTAACATAAAATTTATTTTTTGAAATCGAGATTATCCCTTACATCTAATCATCTCCAAACGAAGAGCAGGATGTGTTTTTGTACCAGCTTCCCAAGGTGGTCGAATAAATACAGAATTGGAAAGCTTGTGTGGGTTATGTTACAAATAAGTACACATACTCTGCTCTGTACTAGATAGTTGCATGAATCTCTAACTTTAACGCACCCATCCGTCATTATTAGTCAATGGGAGTAAGTACCGTTAACTCCAAGCGGGTTATGGTCGAATAATATTACCCGTTTACCGATCACTAGAATTGTGATACTAGATTTACGGATCGTTGACATGGGGATACTTTTATCCAGTAAATTAACAGGTATTTTGATAGTCAGCAAATAAATAAATCGATATATATATTTGTGGTGTTCTTCCAACGGTTAAGATGCTGACTGCTCGTAAAAATGTCGGTACTAAAGGATCAACCAAAGGTATCAGGACTAGTTGACGAGAAGAATGGTATCGAACGCGTGGAACTTGAAGATATTACCATTCAGGATGATCCACAGAAATGGTCAAGAACAAAGAAAACCCTTATTCTAGCAACAATATCTGCCGCCGGAATGCTACTCATACTAGCAAATGCGTATGTAATAAATAATAATAATGTCCAATGATAAGTCACGTGGGCTCATTGCAATCACGTTCGCTGACTTTTGTAATTTTTCTAGGATACTTTATCCCTCGTTGCCAGCAATAAAGAATGCATTCGACACAACAGATACGGTGGCGAATTCTCTAAGTAATTATAAAATGCAATGTTCTAATCGCTATGATTAATATAAATAACTTGCCAGTTTTATTAATAACCACACGTCACAATTCAACAGTCGGGGTGTACATTCTGAGTATGGGAATATGCGTAAGTGAGAAAAGCGACAATTCAAAAACCTGTCATACTGATATCATACTGATATATTTACGCCCTTGTAGCCACTCGGTTGGGCTGCATACTCGGACAAGCGTGGAACAAGACGCAATGTTTATCTCTTGTCATCTGCAATATTTGTTGTTGCATCGGCAGTCTGCGCTCTGTCACCCAACATCTGGCTGCTGATCATTATGAGAGCATTGCAAGCAGGTGGGGCATCCGCAGTACAGAGTGTTGGGGCTGGAACACTAAGCGACTTGTACAGAGTTGAAGGTATAAATGTAGTAAATAACTAAACTAAACTTACATCAGCGCAAATCACCATCCTTACTAATAAAATTTACGGGTAGATCGTGGAACAGCGTATGGAATTCAATTCGCAGGAGTATTACTTGGTAAGTGATGGAAATTCTTATTTTAGCATGTCAAAGGATGCAAAATTACAATGCAACAGCAGTCGTTCGTGAATTGTTTGATGTGTGTCATAATTTTCACTGTCCATCGAATACTTAAATTTCTTTTGCTTTCGCAGCTCCACTGACGGGACCAGTCATTGGGTAAATACTATTAACAATCTTCTGCATATATAAAAGACGTGTCACTCTGTGCACTCACTGGTTTTTTGAATCTCAATCAAGCGGTTACATTGGCGAATACTTGGGATGGAGGTAAACAAACGTGGTAATATAACCGAATAGTGAGCTTTATATAACATGCATGCATATTTTTTAAATCATGCCAGGTGGACTTTTTGGTTTGTCACCATTATCGGAACGCTCTTGTTTGGAGTAATGTTTTTCTTACCAGAAACGTATAGAAAGCCAAATGAATCAGAAGGGTGCAAAATAGGCAGCGAGGAAAAAGAGGAAGAGAGATTACCTGTGACATGCAACGATGTGATCACTTATGAACTAGAAAAGCAAGATGACCTGAATGAGACAAGAAAAAATGACGATCAAATTCATATTGACATCCCTCTTGCTATATCTAAAGCGTCCACGAATCCATCATCTCCAATCTCTCCTACTGCGACTCTTGTCTCTTCAGCCCCAACATCTCCCACTACCATCGTTCCCTCAGTTCCGACATCTACTACTGACCTTTCACCCTCGACTTTTACATTTCCTACAACTCTTCCGACTTGCTCATCTCCAACATTCTCTTCTCCGCCGGAAAAAAAGCATTATCGCCTATCCTCTTTGTTTCTCTTCCTATCACCTCTCCGCCTCCTCCGTTATCCCAATGTCACATTCGTGGTCGCATGCACCTCTGCCTTGTTTTCCGCGGGATACACGCAAGACACACTGATATCGACTACGTTCCAAATTGACCATTATTCTTTGTCACCTTCCACATCAGGATATGTATTTTTATGTAGCGGGTTTGGATACATGATAGGAAGCGTGTTTGGCGGAAAGTATGCGGACATGATGCTTGCAAAGCAGGCGAAGAAGAACAACGGAGTGCAATATGCGGAAATGAGATTGAAAAGCGTGTGGTTGGGAGCCATCCTATTTCCAATATCCATTAGCGCTTATGGCTGGTGTGTAGAGAAAAGTGTGTTCATTGCATGGCCACTGCTTGCCATGTTTTTCGGTATGTACATGTTAAATAGCAATTGGGAGAATACTGCAAGCGCGATTAATATTTTGACGTTTACTAAATTATACGCATTTTGGCATTGCATCCGAATAGATGGCATAGGCGTGTTTCTAATCACTTCAAGTATGGTGTCTTACCTAATTGATGCGTTTCCTGGGCTATCAGCATCAGTCATGTCGGTAAACATTTGTATGCGGTACCTCGCCGCTTCTGTAATGTCTATCATTGCTGCTCCAATAAAAGATGTAATTGGCAATGGGTGGCTATTTACAATAATGGGTGGTCTTGCGATTGTAGGAGTTTGTCTGCTGACGATTATATATTTTAAGGGCAGAGAGTGGAGAGAGAAAATTAACATGAGGGAAAACGTGAAACAGAATGAAAGTAAAACTTGAGGCGAGATTGTAAACGATTCATAAAATATTTAAATTCGGACTACTAATAAAAAAAAAAAGTTTAACTTGGTAACAGACGCGCGCGATTAGATAAAATCAAGACATAACTATACGCATTTACAATGAACCCCCGTATTAGTATTGAAAAAACACTCTGCAGTCACACCTTTTTATAGTCGTTTGGAAATCTGCAGCATTACTGCTATGTAGGAATTGACGCGACAAACCTCACTCAGGAATATGGCAGAAACGCTGAAGTGTTAATCTGTGAATTACTGTATGTATCAAATGGAGCAATCGGCTTGACGCGAGCTTTGTAACGGTTATCTTTCGTATAATGGCGGTCATTTGCTAGATATGTGGCCAACATTGTACTAGAAAAAGTAGATAACGTCTCGATAATACAGCATGCGTGCCAAACCTCGGTGACTGATGAATTGAGCAAGTCGATATGCGTGTTTACTTGAAAACCAAGCGCTTATACGAAACAAGATTTACGCGGAAAGCAATTTCGTTTAGGACAAGCATCCGAACAAATTATTCGAAAGCAATTCTCAACCAAAATTATGCGGTTCATTCCACATAGCGCGCCGCATACATCTCAATCGTTTCGTCGACAAATCATATATGGCAACCCGAATCATTTACCTTTACTGCAAGTACTGCGAACACAGCAATTGCAGATATACTCGAGATTTATGCTATCTCGTATTAGTTCACGGAAAACAGTATGATTATGTATGCAAGATGTTATTTTATTACATTCCCGAGTCGTGCTTCATCAGACTAACACCCACCCGTTCTTTTGTCTCATGCGAAATCTAAATATGATAAATATATACTATGTATCCATTTATATATCACCCTTACTTCCCCCCGTTATAATACTTGACATGACCCTTTTGCTTCTTGACTTGGATAGAATATTCGCGGATCGCCAGTTATTCTTACCCCAACTTCGCCGTTATTATCTACAGTTATTTTCTCTGCACAGTTCAATATGTTCACTAGCTCTGTGCCAATGTTGTATAATCCATTGGTTTTAATTTGTATACTGAACATGGGATCATATGTTCCGTATATTGTCATGACGACCAACGCTCTGTCTTTGAAGAAGGCATAAATACGATCATTTGCCCACGCTTCAACCGAAAGTGATGTGAAATATGAGGATGGGAGTGTCTGTCGGAATTTGTTTATCGTTGCAATGAATTGATACAAGTCACTCGATTGTGTATAGTTTGATGGCCATAAGGCTTCCCGGTTCCATGGATCGTCTCCTGTAAACAAAAAGCCATCATGAGCTATTTAGTCTACCATAACGTAAAATATAGGATGTCGGGGATAATTTTACCTCCGTTGAATCCCTGCTCAGTGCCTTGATACACAATTGGTATTCCTAATTAGAAAATGGTTGATAATGGCATCAGAGAGCGATCACATTTGTATCGACATTATTTGCGTTGGGCATGTTATTTTCAATTACCATCTGTTAGCAACACGAACGTCAGTGCGTTTTTCAACAAGTTTCTGTCTTGCGTTCTTGACAAGAATCTCTAATGGTAATAATCAAATTAATTGTGTTGAACTGTATATTAATTACAAGCAAATAATTGTATAAATTCCACTCACGGGTACGTCATGATTATCAATGAAATTCCCTAATACGGTCACGTCCTTGAATGCACCCCTCATGCTCTGGACTGCTCTGCTGACAGAACCCATATCGGAAAACGGGTTTGTAAAGACTGATATGATATTGTAAAACAACGGATATCCGAGTACGGCGTCCATGTAATTTTGATATTCGCCTACTTTGGAAGGATCACCATGAAACATTTCGCCTATGGAAAATACTCCGGCGGCAGCAGTAAACCCACTCCAGAATTCTTTGCGAACATGTTTAACGGTATCAATACGGATGCCATCGAAATTATATTCACGAACTAGATCTTTGATCCAGTTGTAGAAGATGTCTATGACTTGAGGGTTTTCAGTGTTGATATCTTATTATAGAATGCACATAGTTAGCACATGAACAGGATTGTACAGACAAAAATCACGTAACTTTTTCTTTTTACCTGGTAATGGAAGCTCATCTCCTCCAAGACAGCAACGTTCAATTTCATCGTCGTTCTAAATTACACGTCACATATAGAATTGGATTAAAAAATCTGTTCGTGTATTGCCGATCAATTATACGTATGAATTCAAACAAAATCAAACATACACCCCAATCTTTGATGACGCAGAAATCATGATAGTGGTTGGTCTTATTAAATGGAGTGTAAGCATTCAAATACTCTGTCGTATACGGTGTTAAATCTTGTTGTGGGCCCATGTGATTGCTGTAATGCAGATTGTGTATTACTTGGCGTCAGCGTGTTTGAATAATGCTTGTGACAATGAACCACCCACTCTCTCCACAAACAACTTGATTACGTACGCGACAACATCGACCATCACCCAAATGTCACGTGCATGTGCTGCTGCTACGAGTTGTTTCAATTCGTCTGCCGTACCAAAGTGTGAATTAATTTCATAGATATCCTGTGCCCAATCTATTAACATGAGCAGATGAGGCAGGGTTAGCAAATTAAAGACTGAAAACGCATGGGTATTAATGTCTTTATATTCTTACATCCATGCCAGCCCAGACCGTATTTTGTTTCTTTCTCGAATTGCTTAACAACGGGACTGATCCAGATTGCATTGAACCCCTTTTATAAAGGAATAGATGGTACATTTAATTCTCCTTATCCATTTCCGCAACCTGCATATTCTGTCATGTGTTTAATATGATCCACTTACCATGCTTTTGATATAATCTAGCTTGTCGATAATACCAGTAAATGTTCCCCCACAATAATGTCTAATCTCATTGATATAGTTGCTGCCGCCATTATTAGCACATAACTGTAGATTCCCATTTCCAGGTGATTGTGCAAAGCGGTCGGTAAGTAATTGATATATTGTGCGCGATCTCCATTCGGCGGCTGTTCGGGCAATTGCCGTTGCCAGCGAAAGCAGAATTAGCAAAGTAATAATAATAAAGTGTTTCGATGAATGCATTTATACAATGTCAAGTATAGAAAAGGTGTTGGGCTGTATTATTAAATAACGGCTATGCAATAATTTCTGCTATATATTACTCTTACAAATTATAGTTTGTAGAGGGTCTTCCCCCTCTTCCCACATTCTTTATATCCGTCCCAGGTCTGTCTCAGCCATACAATTCAGGACAATAAATCATCAAGCAATTCGTGTATGATTCGTATACTATGCACCAAACGCCACCACTTGTTAATTTTTGCTAAATAACCAATGCCCGTAATACACGTGAAATCAAACCTTGGTAATGATTTTAATATCGGTAATGAAAAGCATTTCAAGTCTACTTCGGATATTGCGTTTCAGTGGGATGTATAGCCACTCTTGTTCGGGCTTAGTTTGACAACACTTCGGCTGTGGTGCGTCATCAGAAAAATAGCGTAGCACAAATTGTAAAAACCAATCAATGATTGACAACGCCTGAGTGAGGGACGCCTCTACTAACAATAAGCATCGCATCACATTAACGCAATCAAAGGCTATATACGCCATTCCCATTTTGTTAAGTCTGCCGCAGCATGTGCAGGGTGCGTAGTAACAATGATGCAAAACACAATAAATTGTCAAATATAATGAATGGTATATGCTACGCTAAATAAGAACATCACTGTTTATCAAACGCAGCGCTACGCTAAATAAGACATCACTGTTTATGTTAGAGCACAGGACAACAGCAACTGTGATGATCATCGAAGATCATTCCACTAATACACGAACCTGTATGATTTGCTACTTTCCATTGCTGTTCAGTAGAAGAAAGACTTGGGGAATGGAGACGGCAAAAGGTTATCGCTTTACTACATGTTACAAGAAATTCAATTGACAAGTTTGTATGGTGACTGTCTTCCGGTTTTTACATAGAAAGCAATTGGTTTGTATAAACACAATGCAAATGACCTTCCTTGTCACAATCGAGATTTCCGTAAATACGGCACTAGAGCTGTGCGTACACTAAATGGCATGGTGAGTGTAAAAATTTGAGTGCACTGCAGTAGCTTGGATAATCATGGTTTTCGAAATTCTCGCATAGTCAAGAAACTTTGCGTAGGGCATGGAAATTTATAACCTTTGAGTGAAATAATTAGAGACTAATCCATCGATTCTACAGAAAAAGCTTAATAAATGGTTAATTAATAGCTTCGCCATCAATTTGTTATCCGGAAAACTCTAATAATAGACACTGGTCAAAAAAAAAGGGTTGTTCAGAGTTATGGCCGAGTAACGATAAAGTAATTCCCAAAGTCGTTGGTACAACTTGTATTCGTTATAAAAATCAGTAAGAATATACTAAGTTTACGACACATTTTACAAGATGGGAAGAGATCTATGTAAAAGCAGCCACATAAACTAGCTTAAGCATGGCTTAGATACGTGTATGTCAAAAAAATACGACCAAATTAAGAACAATGGGATTATGAAGATTAACCTAATAACAACAGACTTGAAAAAAATCTATCTGTCTACGAAATTAATAATTCATAGCTTATACTTGGTCTCCTATATAAGATATGCCATGTAAATTAAAAGTGCCTTCTTACTTTGAAAATTTATAGACAAGACGTTAAGCATGCAAGACGGTGTTTATTTTATTATAAACTGATTTTGTCTCATTCATCTACAACACTGACAAAACATGTCTCGAGTATCTCAACGCCTAGTTTATTTGTTTATTTTGGTGTTTCTTATTTCTTGAGTTTCTAGTTTAATACGCATTTTTTGTTAGATTTATGAAAGCACGTGACATTTAGATCACATGTTCTACAAAGCATTTTTATAAACATTAATAAAGTTTGCGCACCATAATCAAATCACAGTGTGTCAATCGTTGTGTTTTATAAAATAAAGTTTGACTGATTAAGACAAAGATTATTACAATGTGAGAACTGGTTTTATTTACCTTTAGTCTGGGAATATAATAATAAACATGATAGAAGATTCGATACAGTATATCACACAGGTAGGGAGTGTAGAACTAGACAGATAGTTTACTTGTAAGAAGACGATAGAAAAAAACTCTTGTTTGTTTTCTCGAATTGCGAGTTCTAGACAAGAGGATTAGAAAAATAATGCATTTTCGTTGGAATGATGCGATGCGCTGCAGTTGTCTATTCAAATCCCTGAAACTCAAATGTAAAAGTGGTTGAAAAGTCATTATCATTATTAGAGTTACGTTCCATTTATTGGAGAGTATTTGCGTAAAAATAAAAACCAACATATTTAGGTTGTGTAATCGAACAGTCTGATATAGAAATCGCGATAAGCAATCAGAAAAACGGAATGTTACAGTCGATCCAATAGCGTTCCGTCCATAAACCTTCAAACGTATATTTATAACGGTTAAAAATAAGTGACATTAAAACCTTATAAGTCTTTGATATTCAGATAAGGATTTCCCGAATCTTTATGGATAATTACAAGAAACATATATTCCGTCGAATTGTTCCACTGCGTTGCGTTGTGCTATGTTTGCGGAATCAGATATCCGTGGTCCCGAGACTTAAACCCTAATAGGGCGATCAATAACACAATGATATATGGTAAGTTTGATAGCGAGGTTGCACGCCTGAACGTTTGTACCCCTGTACTCACATCCGTATCGTTGTCATGCATCTGTCTATTCTTATAACAAAGAAAAAAAAAGATTTGACGTCAAACCTACTTGATTTATCTCTCTCTCCCTACTGCATAAGGAGACGGTGTGCAACCTTTATCACTGTATACGTACTGTATATACGTATATATATGTATGTGTATGTGTATGTGTATGTGTATGTGTGTGTCTGTGTCTGTGTGTGTATGTGTGTGTATGTAAGAGAAGAATAACTTATCGGAACTCATCAACGTTTTTTTCTCCTTGCGTATTTTGTAAGACAAATAAATATGTTTGCTATTGACATACTGTGTAGATCGACCGTATCCATGTCAATACGCTTCCGCATTTACGCAGTAATAGCGATAGTTATTAATACTAATGGTAGGTAGATCTATCATATATATACCTGTCATTACTATTACTATATTGTTTAGAAAGTAAACTATAAATAGCTTCGAGTTGTTTCCGAAACATCAAAGATCGTGATCAACATGTGAAATAATTAAAAATTATGAAACAACCAGATGATTGACATATTACAATTATTCATTTATTAATCGAGGTTACACTGAATAAATTCATTATGCATAGAAAACTTCGTAAAAGAAAAAGAGAGAGACTACATTACACGTGATGGGAAATGAGCGGGAAAACGGAAACAGCCCTCCCCCATTACTTGCGTATAACTAAGAATTAACTATCGCTAATTATTTTTTGATTATGCGTGACTACCATATCGCCTTTTCATTTCTCAACACCAATCTATAATGCTCTAACCCAAAGTTGTCAATGGACAAACAATAATCTAGACTCTGAAAGCGCCGTTCTCCTCCACTGGCTTCTATTTGCATGCATTGTAAATCAGTTTTCTAGTTTTTATATTCCCACCCCCGACTTAATCATATTAATCAAACAGAAATTGTTCAAAATCAATAGTCCATTTATACAAATAAAAAAAATAGTGGGAGTTGGAATGAGTTGATTATGAATGTAACCAATGTCCGATTCTTTTTTTTTTTAAAGAGATTTAATTTACACCAGATGCACGGAATTGAGATCGTCAAATTTTGCAGAGAGCACCTGGTCTGGAAGTGTTGCGAATGCCGTATACGTCAATAGAGTAATGCTGACGAAGATTAAAGAGTCTGTGCGTAAAAGAGTAAATTGTACAAAAAGAGAATAAGTAAAAATGTGATAAATTACGATACAAAATAAACAAACTATTCAAAAGTTTTTTACTTACCAAACAGCGCTTTTTCCCATGGGTCAAGACCCTTTGTCGATGTTGTTACCTCTGATTGGTAAGCTTTGAATGCAAAGTAGTTTTTGATGTTTGTGAACATTTTTAAGATATGTATGAGTTTCAGTGACTTATTTCGTTCGTTTAGTTTTTTGATTTTTTAATTCGTTTAGCAGTTGTCTCTGTATATTGATTGTTATAAGGTTTGCTTAATATTCGTTAGAAACAGAGAGCAGTTATTACTATTGCAATATTACTGTCTCTTGCTCGATGATCCGCGAGAGATAAGAAATGCAAGAGTTGGTGATGGTGTATTTATATCTGTGCGGAAACTGGTGACAGTGTTACAACGTTTGTGCTGCGCTGATAGTACAACTGCGCTGATTCCGGATAAAGACAGAAACAGCAGCAGCGGCGTGGCGTAATTGACAAACTAAGTTTCGAACATTGTTTGCTGAAAAATAAGGAGAAAGGAGGGAAAAGGGGAGCGAAGGATGTAAAAACCATACTTATCCGTAGAATGATTACTTTGCAATCAACGTAAGGCATTTGTTAACGCTTTTGTCTCTAATCTTTGTGAATCTTGTCTTTGTTGATTGATAACGACAGATAAGTATGAAAGTACAAAATACAAAATGATGCATCTCGATTACAGATTCTGATACAATAGTAAGTATAATATACATATACATTAATAATGTAGAATACAATACTTACGCAGAATTACGCACAAGTATGAATTGTGTTACTGGATTTGGGATATTAGTCCATTTGAAAAGAAGGATAAGGTTAGACAACTAAGGTTCTACATTATTTGAAAAGAAGGATAAGACTTATAATTAGAAATCCTTAAAATGGAGCAACAATACCTATCAATTGATGTAACAGTGTGGTCGGACAGTATATTTGTCCATCTGAAATTTATTAATAGCCTATTATTATTGCACATACATCCAATCAAATCCTTGTGTTAATACATGTTATGCGGTGAAAGTTAACAAGCACTCATATGCGATGAAAGTTAACAGTCAGGGTTCTCAGTGAAATAACAAACGAAACCAAAATAATAATATTCATAAAGTCTTTTGTATTAAAGATAATGATCTAGTTACATAAACTTTACAGTGAGAGTATCTATAGTAATTGTGTGCAAATGCTTAGTCAACAATCATGACCATTATTACTAAATCGTATTCATAATTGACAATCAAGCTGATCGCCGGTCATTGATAACTTGTACCATATTCGTTCATTTCCCTCAGTAAATCATTGCCCATCCATCCAACACAGTCTATCGAAAGAAGAAAAGAATTCGAATTTGATATGTATGTTATTATTAGTTTACTCTCATCATTATAATTACCATCATTATATTTATTTACAATCATTATCGTTATGGGTTCTTTTTGTTTCCAATGTCGCACAATTTGACGGATACTAATACTTTTGGTCGGTCGGTGTAAAGAGAGAGACAAATAGGAAACTTTGGGGTAAAATTTTTTTTCTCTCTTTCCTTTTACAATCTTATATATGTCGACTCTTGCATAGATAACGCATCATTTGTGTTGCGTTGATAATAAGCATCTCGCTCATTAGATCTCTAACACACTAATATAGTCATATTTACAAGCCTAACAACTTCAGGTTTGGAATATGCAGATAGATATGTTGGCACGTAACTACGAAATAAGTAAATACAATGATGCAAATCTAGCGCTTTTTACACTATCACAAACATCGCCAATTTCCAAAAGTGAAAATCATTGAAAGACGTGAAAATCCCTTGCCAACAAATCAACTCATTTGACACACGATGGACAAAAGACGAAAATTAGTATATCCTGTTCACGATAGACAGCATCTCATCATAAATGTTACACTTCATTCATTTTGCTGTTGTCATTTCATTTTGCTTATTGGATATAATATGGTCATCCACATGTCCATTTAAGTTTCCTACCATTAACTACCTCAAGTCAAGTTCAATATGGCTAGCACGCGCCATAAATATGACAGCTAAATACAAATTCCTATCAATCTTTGAAAAATCGACAACCGGCATGGCATTTCCGTCATGCGATTGTCGCTTATCGCATTTTCAGCTGTTCCCCTTATGATGGGACGTTTGTCCTTCGTAATACAAGCCAACCTTAATTTTGAACGATGCCCGATGGCGAGCTTTGTGTAGATGATAAGCTGTGTGCCCTAATGAAAGGTGTGAATGTATCATGTGAAGATTCAGATAGGCAAATACAGTATGTGCACATCGAATAAGAAGCATGCTAAGAACAAAGGCGTTTTTTGTGTCAAGCGGGAAATTAAGCGGACCGGACTCATTACAGTAATGTAGACAGTATCTTCGGTATAACAAAGGTGACAATATTTATACAAATAAAGTAATAAGAAGGCGCCAATGATAATGATGCCATCTAGACATACTATGATTTCGGATATACAACTTTTATTGCTACATGGGTAAATGGTAGTCGTATCGGAGAAAGAGTTATTCACAAGTACCGTTTTCCCCCCTCCTCTCTCCATTACAGTCAGTCGGACTAAACCGTTCCTATTATTTTTGACTAACCGTTTCTATTATTTTTAACAAACCTCCCCCCTCCCAAGACCGTTTTCTCCGCAATAAGCATATCAAACTTTTTTGATTAATGAAATTTTAACTCCGGGCGTAAAAAAATTTGACTGCTGCTTATCCCTGAATCAGGTTCAGGGTCCTGTTTATTCCTAGATTTGGTGGTACAACAACCGGCTATTACTGTCATTGAGCAAACCCGCAATGAAATGGCTAAAACTTTTATGCTATAACATGCATATTCTTATTCGCTTGTATGACCAGTTGTGCAGTCTCTGCACATTTTGTGTCATGGTGATTGCTGATACCATCTTTAACAAATAATGAGCAAGAATATGCAGAGATTTTGCCGATAAGTTGCAATGATGGGAAAATAATAGCACAAAAAGATTTTACAAGTTATCAAACCCCAAGATGTACGCTCGTAATATACCCGTACTTGCATTGTGCGAGAAGCGTTTTAAATTAAAATATACATTCTTATCTCGAAACAGTTAATCAGTGTACCTGTATATACTGTAAATCGTATATTAATATAAACTGTTTGTTGTTACATTACTTAAACTTGTTTGGCCAGCAAAACTGTAGTCTTGCCAGTTATAAATCGCACGGTCCCATGTGACTTACATATTATGGATCAAATTTCCCCAACCCTGAAAATTTATGCAAACAATATTAACATCGATTCAAATATTGGGGGGCACAAAGATTAACACAAAGTGCCGTTAATGGTGCTGAATTTACAATGTAGTTCTACGCCCACTAAAAATATACCTGAAGGAAGATCAGTATTCATGTAAATTTTGTCGGTTGCAGGACTTGTATAAGATATCGAACAACTAGCTGTGTAGTTGAAATCAAGAGATAAAGTGTATCATATATCAGTGAGAATGTATGTATGCTATTCTTGTTCAAGACATGATTTGGTGACATGATACTTGTAGTTCGTTACGCAGAGTTTGTCACCGATAAAACTTTGATTAATAGTAGTAATGTTTAAACATCAGATCTTATATTAATAAATTAGCGGTAATTATTATGCAATAAAATTTTTGTAAGTAAATATGCATCAATTGTCACAAAGACAGTTTTAACAAGTTTTTAAATAACAATTATAAACAAAAACGTTAAATTTAGTTCCCAATTCTTACGATAAAGCTAATCTTCAAAAGCTGGTTATCATTACGTAGTTAAGACATCGAATTTTTGACATATCATTAATGCACATCTTGACGTATATGACTATTAATACGTTGAATTTGGCTGAGGTTTGAGTTGTAGTTATCGGCTATAGTGCACGTTTTCCAATTAGATAAAAATCGTATTGACAAGCTAGAGTAAATGACAGACAAGTACAACCACTCGTACCAATAGAAAAGTTGACAGTTTTCGGCTCTATCGGCACGATTTTACTGGGCAAAATTTGTGTTTGATTAAAGAGGACACTGATTATCGTTGCTAGCAGCACTGAGACACTTATATCCTCAACTTTTTATTGGCCAATACTGGTGGAGATAAGGAGGAGAAATACGTCAAAGTTCTTGACAGTGGAGGGCACAAAGCATTTTCTAGTAATCAACATGCATTAATATGAGTAATCATGGTAAGAATATCGTTTCGTTTCAAAATCAGAACATTTTCACGAATGCTTTGTTATGCAATTTGTAATATTTATTTGGGTATAGATGCCTTTTTGTCCAGTCCTGCCGTACTGCGCAGTTTTTGCCTCTTGAAGTAAGCTGTTTACGTTAGAGTTGTTAAATTGAATTTCAATGATCGGCCATCTTTTTTCAAGATCAGCATTAAAATGATAAACGTCTTGACGGTTAGTCTTTGCCGAATTTGTTGCATACTGTTTTACTGCGTAGCACATAAATATATTTCCTTAATCCAGTTCTGCAGTAAGGACAATGATAAAGAACGTTGAAAATAGAATGTAGACAGTTTTGGTCATTCTTAACCTCATAATAATATGTAATTGTACATGTAAGATTCTCCGTAGTATAGTTCTATTTGGACTCTTATCTTCATATTCCTTTTATCACTATTTCTACACTCCCCTGAAATAAGTATCGGACCCCCTTTCAATTTAAATTGCTCAATAATTCATATAATAATTGACCTCGATTTTTTTATATTTACAGTTTATAAAGTAGCTTTACAGGTAACTATTACAAACTTAATATTTCGTTGGCCATCCATTTTTAGCAATACATGCTTCAACTCGTCGTGGCATGCTTTTCACTAAATCTATATAAACATGTTCAGGAATTTGAGCCCACTCATTCTGTAAGGCAATTTCTAACTCTCTAATATTTTTTGGATGTTTCAAACGATTTCGAATGCGACGTTCCAATTCTGACCACAAATGCTCAATTGGATTCAAGTCAGGCGATTGACTTGGCCAATCAGGCAATGTTTTGATCTTCTTCGTCATAATCCACTCACCAACATCCCTGGCCGTGTGAACGGGTGCATTGTCTTGTTGAAACATGTAACCTTTTTCATTAAATTTG